TAGAGAGCTGTCATTATGGTTAAAAAAGTGACTTATTTCGGGGAACTTTGCTATCTGAACAGTTCATGTCCTAGAAAAAGTATTATTTTAATGTTTTAGAGTTCCTCGAGGGATAAATAATTAATTTACGCTTTTGTAGCAAAAAAAAAAATTCTCCGCATATCTCGCATAAGAAAAATTGCTGTGACCAGAATTTCGGCGAGAGTCCTTGCATATTTACTTTCTTTCATTTCCCAGATTCTGGACTTTATCTATTTACCGGTTTTTATTGTTATTTTGATCTATTTTGAATTGCGTGACACTGAAAACCAGCAATAGAAATCCCCTAGGCGACCCGCTAGGCAAGGTGTCAAGGGACATTTCGAGCATTCAGAAATGAATTGGAAAACAGTCAAGTCCCAGTTCCTGGCGGTCCAGTTAGTTTGCGTGACTGTTTCCTCTATCAAGTTGATGTAATTCTGCCCAGCATACCATGCATCGCTGAGAGGGAATATTATAAGTTCTTCTAACTTACTGCACATATAAGTACATCAGTGTTTGCAAGAGTGTGATAAAGCTTTTTTGTGAAAGATTTTATGGTCAAAAAACAAGGTAAGAATTACCGGCTTGCAGCTGGCTAAAATTAATTAAGCTCTCCTATGGCTGGCTGTACGAGCTGTCAAATGCACCAACTTTAGTGGTGTACTCAGTCTTTGCGTTGAAGCTCTAGGTACTTGTACGCAGGTTTTATATCTCATGTGCTTGCTATGTCTTTAAATTTAGTTCGATGAAGCCAAAAAGCTTGAAATCTTCATTATTCATTGGGCCGGATTTGGAATTAAACAAAATCCACAACAAGTGAACTTGTAAACAATTCTAACTATTTCAAGTAATATTTTCTGGGAAAGATTTTGCTGTTCTGTACTCTCAGGAGAAAATCCATGTATCCAAAGTCTCATTTCGTAGCAGAGAAATAGATGTACCAGTTCTGCTTAGGCCCAGTTCAGACGCCGAACTTTTCATGAGCCGAACCAAA